CCCCAAAACCCCAAAACCCCAAAACCCCAAAACCCCGTTATTTCAAAGACTAATTGAACTATGACATATCTTGTTGTTCATAAAAGAACATATATGCATGAGTGTTATTTTCATATTGCAAACCAATATCTGAGTTATCAGCAGCTGCTCTTTCAACTCTGCTGTGGCCAAAATATTTGTACCAGTATCCTGCATTTTTGAAAAAGAGTTGGAACTGGTTACTAGAGACGAGCCCCATATGCTCTATTACAGCATTGATTGAATACTTTGTGGAATAGCTTTGAGATGAAGATAATTCATACTTCGATCTCCCCTATTTACTCAGAAAATTATCTTACCTTGTAAGTCTCGTCGTAGAGATCTAATTTTGCAGTGAAGTTAATTGGGGACAGATTATTCCTTCTCTCAGGGTAATCTTTTCCAAACCTGTCAATTCTAATTGCTAAGACTTTTGGAAGGTGGTGAAAATACACTGTTTTAATATGAGTTGTTTGATCCCATCACCGATCACAAAAGAATACATTCTTTTTCATTTTCACCTGATAACAAGAGAGGAACTCTGATATTCAGTCATCAAGAGTGAACTCTTCCTCATCAGTTTGAGGAAAGGGAAGGCTGAGAGAGGTAAATTTTTCATACCCTTTTTGGAGCCATCCACAATCGTATCATTTCATTTCAATGTAAAGCTCTCCTTCGAAGTTATCAAGCACATGGCTATCATTTTTAGGAGGTTCTTCAGCTATAAGTTTATCTTTGAGTTCTTACCTTCAGAACTGTCAAATCTTAGATCTTCCAGCGACCTGTACTTTCTGAGAGCAGATCGGTTACATTCTTCATGAAGTCCCCAAATTATGAAATCCAAAACTTCATAAGGGTCTCTTTTATAAAATTTTTTAAATTTCGGCTGAAAGTGCTCTGCAAGTTCGAACACAGTCGTCATCTCAGAGTATGAGCTTGATTGAGCCATCTGCATGAAGGAGATAAATTGGCTAAATGCATTAGCTAGCTTTCCTTTAAACCGACTCCCTTTATTAAGTCTGTAAAAGTTCCCTTCAGTAAAGTATTTGCTGAAACCATAAATATGAGTCAGAACTTGCAGTATTATTGAAATTGAATTCAAGTTCATGTAGCTCTTGAGATTTTTGGCTTGCTTTTTCAATGAGGGTAATGCCTTGTTCCTTTTCATCCTCCTATCTCCATATTTCTTTGGTTTAGCCAGATTTAAAAACTGTGGCTCTTCTCTTCGTCTATAAACAGACCTGGCTTAAAACAAATCAAAATTTCAATGGGGCTTAGATTGAAGTAATTTATGATGCTTACCTATGTTTCTCCATATAAATATTACAATATTGATAAAATATTTAGGGGTTTTGGGGTTTTGGGGTTTTGGGGTTTTGGGG